TTTAGGAGAAAAAAAAAAACAATCATCTGTGCTCCGTGTCTGCTGATGAACCAGCTGCACGATCGCTCAGCGTGATCGCCATTTCTGTATCCTCTCGTTGGGGAGCGGCGTCGTGCTGCGGAGGGGGTCGGTGAGGAGGTGACGATGCGTTGCTGTGATCAGAGTCTCGAGCGCGTCTCCGCCGTCCGCGCTGTAATGTATCTTTTAGTCACAATTCTGTGTTCTTGGGGAGGATTAGGTAGTCTGCGATCGGCCCGGTCCTCACTTCTTTTCTATTCATTTATCTTTCAGTTCCGTCGGCAGAGCGGGAATGCGTGTGTGTGTGTGTGGGTGTGTGGGCGGGCGCCACGTCGTGGCATCGTGCCCATCATTGGTGGCGGGCTGGACCTCGATAACACGTGTTCTCCCTGTGTGTTTTGTCTCGCGGTGTGACGCAGGAGGACTATGCTGCCATCCGTGACAATTACTTCCGCACTGGCGAGGTGAGGGAACGATGCCTATGCCACAGTACCACGCACACACACACACACACACACACACGCACACACACACGCACACACGTGCCACCACGTTTTCTCACACACATACATCACACACACACACGCACACACGTGCCACCACGTTTTCTCACACACATACATCACACACTCCCGCACATTTGCTCCTGCAATGCATCAGGGCTTTCTCTGTGTGTTCTCCTTGACAGAGACGAAGACGTTTGAGGACATGGAAGACTTTCGGGAACAAATTCTGCGTGTCCATGACACGGACTCCATGCCCATTGTTCTTGTGGGCAACAAGTCTGACATTGAAGACTCAAGACAAGTCAGCAAACAACAAGCTGAACAGCTCGCGCAATCGGTCAGCTCCCTTCCTTTGTGTGTGTGTGTGCGTGTGTGTGTGTGTGTGTGTGTGTGTGCGCGCGCATTCTACACGGCTCTACCTCTCAACACAGCTGGGGGTGCGTCTGTGTTGCGTGGCTATGGCCAAGCTGTGTGCACTGCCTTACCTCAGTCAGATAATGCTCCACGCTTGCGATTCTGTACACCGCTGACGACCAATCTGCGTGTGCTTGCACGTCTGATGTGCATGCAGTGGGGCGTCCAGTACTTTGAGACGTCTGCCAAGCTGCGCACGAACATTGATGAGGCGTTCCAAGCACTTGCGCGTGCTGTTCGTGACCGCAAAAACGCCGGCATTGGCAAGCGGGTACGGCCGACCAAAGGCGGCAAGACTGGCAAGCGCCGGGGCAAGTGCACTCTCCTGTGATGTGATGTGATGTGATGTAATGTGATGTGACGTGATGTAATGTGATGTGACGTGATGTGACGTGACGTGGCGATCGATAAGGCGCAGCAGAACCCAGGCGGCATGCACGGCAGATAGCGAGACACGTGTGTATGTACGAGAGCGCGAGCAATGTGGGTGGCGTTTGCTTTGGTGTTGGTTGTGATCGCGACAACTTGAAGCCCAATGTGCGTGTGTGTGTGTGTGTGTGTGTGTGTGTGTGTGTGTGTGTGTGTGTGTGTGTGTGTGTGTGTGTGCGTCCTGTGTGGCTATGTTACCATGCCTTGGCGGTGACTGCGTCTGGAATATGTAATGGCTGCGGCCAACCATCCCATATTGCGCCAGTTTTTGCACCGTGGGCCCGCGTGCGCATGAGAGTCTGAAGAAGTGGAGAAGTGTTGCTGTTCCGTCGCTTTCATCGCTTGCTTGCTTGTGGCGTGTGAATGTGAATGTGTGTGTGCGTGTGTGTGTTTCACTTGTTGTTAATGCACGCAGCTGTATCGTGCAGAAGGTGTTATCGGAGCTTGTTGTTTCTTTTCAGCAAGTGGTGTGTATTCCAAAGGATGAGAGAAAGGAACTTCAGTAAACAAAAGCGAATCAACTGGGAACGTTGGGTTATGACAGGGCAGAGAAGATGATGACAAAGCGTCAAACATGCAACCAACAGCGCGCGCACGCACACACACACACACACACACACACACACACACACACACACACACACACACACACACACACACACACACACACACACACACACACACACACACACGGGCAGCCACGAACAAGGCTTGTGACACAGTTTACACCTGTTTTGTGCGCTTGGGAAAACAACATTGCGATAGCAGTGGACAACTCAAGGGCAAAGGCACATTAGTAGTCTTGCACGGCCTCTTCATCATAGACAGCAAGGAGGTTGATGCGGAAGGTGGCCATCGGATGCTCAAACAGTTTCTGCCATTCAAAACAGAAACACAGGGGAGACCAGTGTGTGTGTGTGCGTGAGACAGACAGCACAACATTCCCCATAAAGTGAAACAAAACGAGAACCGCAGTAGCAGTCAAACAAGAAGAACAACAACCGAAACAGCTTAAACAACAACCCTGTCAACAGCTACAACACAAACGACAACGTCTGCTCAACGGGAACAACTTTGAGACAAACCATCCCTTAGACATAGCCATACCAACCTCCTACAACACCTGACACAGCTCACTGAAACAACCCAACGAACACTCGACGACACCACCACCACCATCGCCGCCGCCATTGACAGAAAACAAATCATGACATGACAGAGCGTACAAGACCACGCACCAGGAGCCGGGCTTGTTCTGGGCTGAGGGTGACGCCTTTCTCGCAGATGGTGTAGTCCTTCTCCAGCGTGACGATGCCACGCTTGAGGCTGGTGGGAAGACCAAGCTTTCGCAGCTGCGGCTCCAGCGCGTGTGAGAACTGGGGCAGGGGCCCAGCCATCAGCCGCACAGCCTGTGTCGACGGGTTGCCTGCTCTCGCGTAGTCCTTGACTTCGTATGTCTTAAACCACCTGCAACAAGTAAACCACACGCAACCACAACCCAAAAACACACGGATGCACGGGCACGTGAGCAGACGACGCTTTTGGATGTCAACACAGAGGACAGCTGCCATGAGTGCAGGCACAGGGGAGTGGACTGGGCACAGCAAGTGCTTTGCACCAGTCGGAGCAGCACGTTACATTGCACGTGGTGACAACAGGTTGTGTGTGTGTGTGTGTAAACGTACTTTTCCACATCCTCGCGGGGCCTGTTTGTGAAGAGCACACCGACGTTGCCGGACAGCCGCTGTCATGTATGTACGCACGTGTGGATCAGATCAAACACAGCAGTCGAAAATCAAAGCGAGGTTGTGATGCGGTGTGGGCGTGAGATGCAAGGTTGAGCTGAGTCATGGTAAGTAGGACGACAACACAAAGCAAAACAAGACACCAAACACGCAAGCGCGTGCATGTACACGCATATGAAGGCCCAAATCAGGAAGCGCAGGTGGGCGCACAGATTCACACGACGTACAACAACACAACGCGTCGCAAGCCAGCGCGTTACAAGACAACACACCACGCCACATAACAGCGATCGCAGCCAAGATCATGAACACAGACCACACAGTGTCCCATCCACACACACACACACACACACACACACACACACACACACACACACACACACACACACACACACACACACACACACACCTTGCTGATCTCGTGCATGTTTGTGCGGTACTCTGACTCTGGATCGAGGCCAAAAGCGATGCTCATGACTTTGTTCTTGCCAAAGAAGAAGCGGGAATCACGCCACCCTGTGCGCACCTCCTTGAGCTTGGCGTTCCTCATGTTCTCCACGGAGAAGATGAACACCCGTGCAAACTCATCGCACGCATCATGTATTTGCTGCACAAGCGCCTTCTTGGTCTGCAACCCTTTCCTATCGGTCTGTGTCAGCGACACCACCTTTGCGCGCTTTGACTTGGGCATGTGTGCGGTGTTGTTTGTGACGTGTGTATCTGCTTGCTTGCTTGTGCTGCGTGTGTTGTGGTTGTGTGTGGGAGTTGATTGAGAATGCACGTGGGCGCTTGCTTGCTGTGAGTTTGGTGGTACTACTATTTATGGTGTCCGAAATTATCGAGGGTACAGTACACAACATCAAAAGCTGGTGTGAAAAGGCGAGCATCGCAACTTTTTGGCTCCTGCTGCTGCTGCAGCTGGTTCCTCGCATCATGTCATCATGTCATCACTCCCACTGTCATGTCACAACAGCACACATCAACAAACGCCCATCAGGTGTCACAACATACATTGACACACAAGGCAATCGCTCATTTCTTTCACCACATCACTCCTTCCTGCGAGAACTGCTGCGATCACTGTGGCTGCTTTTCTTGCCGCGATGCGTGGCTGACTCCTCCTTCTTCCTCTTATCCTCCTCCTTGTCATGTCGGTGGTGCTTCTTTGAGCTGCGATGGCGGTGCGTGTCGCGCTGTTTCGCATCAGTGCCATCGTCACGCTTGTCGTCGCCGTGGCGACTGGTGCGGTGCCGATGCCTTCGCTCACTCTCGCCCTCTTCCTCGTCTTTGCGACGCTCACGACGGTGGTGGTGGCGGCGGCGATGCGAGGATGACCTGTCCTTGTCGCGATGACCCTTGTCGTCCGCATCGTCATCGCGTGAGCGGTGCCGACGGCGGTGCCGATCCTTGCTGCGGTCGCGGTGCCTGTCCCTGTCGCCACTGCGGTGCCGCCGCCCTCTCCTCTCTGCGTCGCCACGTCCCTCCTTCTTGCTATCTTCACCTTCAGTATCGTCGTCTTCTCGGTGGCGGTGTCGATGTCTGCGACTGCGCTCGCGCTCGCGGTCATGGTCACGGTCACGGTCACGGTCACGGTCATGGTGGCGGGAACGATGGCGGCTGCGGCTGCGGCGGCTGCGGCTGCGGTTGTGATGCTCGCCGTCCTTGTCGGTGGCGTAGTCAACACCATAGCGCTCGTTGTCGCTGCCGCTGTGGTCATCGCCGTCGTTGTCGCCGCTGCCGCTGCCGCGTCGCTCGCCATACTTGGCCCTGCCGCCATCCCCTCCACCATTCTGGCGAGGCTCTTGCAGTGGGCGTGCGTACTGAGCAGGCGTGCTCAGCAACGCACCAGCAGGGCGTGGCGGCATGTGAAGCGACTGCTGCTGGTGATGCTGTTGCACGTGGTGACCACCGTACGGCGTGGGCATCATTGGCTGCCCATACGGAGGCGGTCCACCGGCACCCATCATGGGCCGAGGGTAGGGATGGCCAGTACCGGGCGGCATCATCAAGCCTGGTCGGAACGGTTGCCCCGGGGCGGGCCCACTAATCCCAGGGCCACGGTACATGGGTTGCATGTGTGGCGGCGGCGGTGGTGCTGCTGCTGCTGTTGCACGCGCCATGCCCGGCTGTGGCATGTTTGGCTGTGGCATGCCTGGTCCGCCAAACGGCGCCCAACCCTGCATGGGGTGCGTGGGCTGCATATGTTGCATGGGTTGCATGGGTTGCATGTGCGGCATCATTTGTGGCTGCATCGAATGAGGCGGCATCATGTGTTGCTGAGGGTGCTGCTGCGAGTGCTGCTGCGAGTGCATGTAAGTGCCACGCTTATGGCGTGCTCCGCCTCTACGATCACCACGGAGAGGACTTCGGCTTCGGCTTCGGCTTCGGCTTCGGCTGCTGCTTCGACTGCGACTGCGACTGCGACTGCGACTGCGACTGCGACTGCTACTGCGGCTGCGGCGGCGGCTGTCGTCTTCTTCACTGGAGCGTGGCGAGTTGGTGGCTGTGTGGGGCGAATGCCTGCGCTGCAGGAACGTTGATGCTTTCTTGCGTGTCTCATGGTCTTCCCGCACTTTTCCCCAATCAAACTCCTCCTTGCACATGGGGCAGACCGAGGTCATGCCAGCGCGGGACATCAGACCTGCACGAAAACGCCAAACAACAACAACAACAACAACAACATTATCAAAACACGGAGTCAGCATAGGAGAAACAATCAGGCGGGGTGTGTGTGTGTGTGTGTGCTTGTGTGTGTGTGTGTGTGTGTGTGTGTGTGTGTGTGTGTGTGTTTGAATGGATTGGCGCGGGGACACGTGGATGCAAAGGTGGACGTCGTACGCTGACACAAGCATAATCTTGGCGCAAGCACAGCATTGCACACAAAGTACAAACAAAGACAGCCAGCAAGGCAAACACGAGTCAATCCAACAACAAGGATACCACAAACACTCACAATCATTGCAGATGATGCGATTGCAGCAAGGTGTGCGTATGGCCAACTTGACAAGCTTGGAGCACACGGGGCACTTGAGGTCATCAGGCACATCCAACTTGATGGCACCGCGAATCTGCATGCCGGTCCTGCAAACACAAACCCAAGACGGGGCAGAACAAGCCACAGCCGATGGTGGTTGGGGGGAGGGGAGGTGAGAAGTAGCCAGGCGTACGCCACTGGGGAGCGAAACCCCCACTCGCAGGCGTAAAACCGACAACTGGAACAAGCGGGCGCTCCTTCACACACAATAACACACGCACACACACACGCGCGCGCGCGCACACACACACACACATATGAGAAAAAGGAGACAAACTTTGGCTTGCGGATGACGAATCTGTTGTCGGGGGTGACCATGGCGCCCTCGGTGTCGGCATCCACCTCAATCAGCTCCGTACTGGGAATGCCAATGGGAAGCTTCAGGCGCTCATTCCGGTCAAAGCTGGGATCCTTCGCCAGCATGGCAGCAACCATTGAGCGAGGGAGGAAGAGAGAGAGAGAGAGAGAGAGAGAGAGAGAGAGAGAGAGAGAGAGAGAGAGAGAGAGAGAGAGAGAGAGAGAGAGAGAGAGAGAGAGAGAGAGAGAGAGAGAGAGAGAGAGAGAGAGAGAGAGAGAGAGAGAGAGAGAGAACGAACGAAGAACGAACGAAGAACGAACGAACGAACCTGACGGATTCGCGAGCCTGTTACACCTAACACACAGGGACTGGAGGGCACGGGTACACTTCGACTCCATGGGTTCCGCGCGGGCTGCAAAGTTGAGGGCAGGACCAGAGAGAGTTGCCCAAAGATCCCTGAACTTACCCCCGCACCAAACCAACGGCGAGAACAGCGTAGAAATTACGGTAACCTTCGCACTCTGGATGTCAATCACCCGGGACACCAACGCCGGGTCCCGCGTCAGTGGCAGGTTATGTATGGGCCCGTGGTGAGCTCCAGCGGTAATGACAAAAGCGATACCAAATTGACACCCTCTCGTATGGCCGGGCTAACCGGCCGTGCTCGTTAGCCCAATGAGGCCGCAGACAGAGACAGAGAGAGACAGAGAGAGAGAGACAGAGAGAGACAGAGAGAGACAGAGACAGAGAGACAGAGAGAGAGAGAGACAGAAACAAACAGACAGACAGACACAGAGAGACAGACAGACACAGAGAGAGGGAGACAGACACAGAGAGAGGGAGACAGACACAGAGAGAGGGAGACAGACAGACAGACAGACAGACAGACAGACAGAGCGCACGGACGAAAGAAAGAGGGGGGGGGGGTGGGCAGGTGGCAATACACGTGCGCAAAGTCAAAGCGGGTCATGTGAGTGTGCGAATAAGAGATGCCACACACAATATGTGAGGTTTGGTTGTTGGAGTGGGTGTCGGTGTGCGGGTGTGTGCAAACAGAGGCACAGCGCGTGTTGAGTGTGCGTTGTGAGTGTGCACGTGTGTGTGTGTGTGACTGCGAGAGCATCTGCACGTGAGTCCATGTGGACGTGCAAACACGTGGTGACGCGTGTGCGTGGGTCATGAATTCACTGCTGACTGTCTTTGGTTGCTTTCTTGCATGACAACGTGGCATGTGCACCAAACATAGGGTTTGAGGCAAGCACTGCCGGGTGGGGAACATGACACTGACAGCGCAGTTGGACGACACGCTCCACAACACAACACAACAGGTGTGTCGCAGAATGTGGTATGAAGAAAGAAGAGGAGGTGAACACATACGTCGATGGTTGGGCAGAACTTGCGATAGTGCTCTCCTTGCACATTGCAGCGTGGGCAAATGTACGTTGGTTTTGGCTTCAGAGGGCGTGTCCTGTGCGTGTGCGTGTGTGTGTGAGTGTGTGTGCGTGTGCATGCGTGTGCAAATACGTGGGGTGTGCGTGTGCGTGCGCGTGAGTGTGCGCGAATATGTGGGGTGTGCGTGTGCGTGTGTGTGTGCGTGTGTGATATGTGGGGTGTGCGAATATGTGGGGTATGTGTGTGAGTGAGTGTGTGTGTGTGTGTGCATTTGCGTGCTTTGGCATGACGTGAGCTTGTACGAGTCACGAGCAAACACGCCACGCGACGACCATGTGGTCGGGTTCAAACAAGTCTGCAGCATCTCACGATGGGTCTTCGAAGACGGGGGCTTGGCCTGGTTTCAGCGGCTTGGCGCTGATGACAATGTGTGCGTTCTTGTAAATGTGGTCACCAGGCCCATACACTGTCACGTGTTTTGTGTGTGTGTGTGTGTGTGTGTGTGTGTGTGTGTGTGTGTGTGTGTGTGTGTGTGTGTGTGTGTGTGTGTGTGTGTGTGTGTTTTGTGTATGTGTGGGGGGGTTGTGTTGGGTAGGGAAAGACATGGATGGTGGTGAGCCAACGGAATGGGATGAGAGTCAACCAAAGACAAAACCAAATCAACGAGACTGTGGAGCTGGTTCACAGTGGCTGAAGTGGATGCAAGGGACTTGGGGGTGGCCATACGCACAGGCGCACAAACGAGAGCGCGGTTCTCAAAACAAGAACCACGCAACGCAACAGTGGCTATCCCCGCGCTCACCCATACATCCACATCACGAACCCACACCGCCACCTCCTGTTGCACCTCCCGATACACCGCCCGAGCATCACTGTAGACACACAAACGCCCTCATCAACTACAACACGCCCACCGACCACCTACCCTCGCACACTTCACACGCAACCATGCTCTCCACCCCCCTCTCTCAATCTCTGCTCACTCCATTTCTCTTGCCCATTCTCCATCTGGTAACCCATCACCCTGTCTTGTTCCACGCACACACACAGTCATCATCGCCAAAAGGCCATCCACAGCACCCACACACAGCACACACACTCACGCACACACTCACGCGCACAGCTCAGCACCCACACACAGCACACACACTCACGCACACACTCACGCGCACAGCTCAGCACACACAGCTCAGCACACACACACACACACACACACACACACACACACTCACGCACGGATGCAATCCACTAGCGCACGCAAGATCATTGATGCAAGTTGAAGCTCACCTTGGCCGCTGTGCTCGTCGATGAGGTCAATGTCTGTATCTGTGGAACGACCGTAGTGGCGCAAGAACACATCTCGCTTCAGCGTCTCATACAACATGCGAGCACCATCAAAGGTCACAGTTGAAGATTGCAGCTCATTTTTGAACTTGTAATGAATGACAGACGCCATGACAAAGGTGGAAGAGCAAAGGTGGGAAAACCCAAGGGCGCGAAGCTACACCACAAAGCTGAAAAGGAAGAACCGACCGCGAGGGGAACGAGTAAATGTCTACCGCGTCAACACGTGAACGTTAGAGGTCGGTGGAGGGGAAGGGAGAGAAGGGAAGGGGGGAGGGAAGGGGGGGGAGGCGCGATGACAACACGTGCACGAGGCGGTTAGGGTGTGTGTGGATGGTCGTGCGTGGGTGGGCTTTGTTGTATTTATGAGTGCTTGCGTGAGGAATATGTTGTGAGGGGAAGGGTGCGTGCTTGGTGGTGCGTGGCCGCTGATGAATGAGAGAGATTTGGGGGGAGAGAGATTGAGATTGAGCTTGAGCTTGAGAGTGAGAGAGGCGTGTGTTTGCTGTTGGGATGGGAGGCTGTGCACGCTGCTGAGTCTGCAGCAATGCAAGGCACGACGAAGATGAAGACAGGTAAGGAGGGCGCTGTGATGAGGCAGGCTCAAGAGTTCGATGAAAAGTGGGATGGATGATTGCTGCGCGACAGCTCCGTCCGTCGGCCTCTTCGTCTTGCTCGCTCCCACTTTGATCTTGGCTCGTCCAGATGAGGCAGGGAGGGTGCGTCGTGGTCCGTGTCGCGGAGGAGTGGTCGGGGAAATGACAGCTACTTCGTTGGCAGCGGCACGCGAACGAACGCTCTGCGCACAAGCGCAACAAATGGCGAAAAGAACACCATATTTTACACTAATTATCGCACGCCGCGAAATTCAAAATTTTCGCCTGCACACACACATTCACACACACACACACACACACACACACACACACACACACACACACACACACACACACACACACACACACACACACACACACACACACACACACACACACACACACACACACACACACACACACACACACACACACACACACACACACACACACA